AGGGGTTTGCGAAACCCTGGTTTATATAAACTTGAGTTAGATGGATATCTTTGGCCATTATAGCATAATTGTTTTCATTCTATGCAATGATATCAACATTTTTTTAGACACCATGACAGGTTAAATCCAGGTCAGGTTATGATACAGAGCCAGAAAGAATGTGAAAAATGGTCATGGAAAAACAATTAGCATTTTTGGTGAAATAAAACAGAGGGGAAAAAAGATACACAAAAATGAACGTCAATATCCAATTAAAACTATTGCTGTAGAGCAATATAACTGTATTTCACATGTTTAAGAACCCTTGGGTACAAATTGGGCATAAGTAAGACATTTACTTTAATATAGTAATGTATATGTTGCTTGCAAAACATATTCTGTAAGAATACATGATTATTTTAAACATTTATCAATGAAAAAACAATTTTTTTTGCAACCAGATTGTGTAGTTACGACATCTACCAGCAGGGGCATTCTGGACCATGCAAACTAGCCAAACCTTGACCTCCTTGGCCCTGAACAACATCCTGCATGCTGTAGCCTACAAAGGATCTCAAAGCAAACATCTGTAAACTACTATTGTCAGTAAACTACATACAGACACACCGGCTTCTGACAGGACAAGGTAAAAGAGCTCCGCTGAGAACGATCTCCTCTAAAGCAAGCCCTGCCACGTCAAAAGTGCACTTGTGTGGAAGAGAGTAAGTTGTGAGCAAACGGAAACACCTGAAGAGAAATCCCTCAGATGGAAGCAATTCCACAGGAACGCTGGGAGCAGATGATCACAGGGGAGTCCGTACATGATAGGAGACAAAGTGGAGACAAACCATTTAGCACTCAAATTGGCCTCGGGACTCCTCTGCCCATATGTTGGACTGAACCAAGAGCGGCCCTGGGGCGCCCATTAAAGCACAATGAGGATCTAGTAGAGGAAAGCCAATATAGAGGCGTGATGCGAACCTGCTGAACTATTCTCACTTGTGTTTAGACCAGCAGCTTATATATGTCAAGGATGAAAAAGGACCTTCATTATAAGCCGAAGCACTTTAAACAATAATACCAGCATCTCTCAAACGTGTCTCATTTCTAGACCGTCTAGTAAAAACAAACAGTTCAGACAGGATACTTGGGCTTCTATATCATAATCAATTTAAGGGGGTTGTGGTACAGAGTGGAAAAAGTGCAATTTGGTGTTGTCATGGTACTTACCCGTTCACAAGGTCTTGGCAGACGCCTCCGTTCTGGCAGGGGTTGGATGCACACTCATTGATGTCTTCCTCACAGTGTTGGCCCGAGAAACCTGGCTTGCAGAAACAGCTTCACAGAGATGACGAAAGGAGGATCGGTTTACAGTTGTGAGAGAAAAAAAAAATCACTTGCTTATCTGGAGTTACATGACCAAAATGTGATTTTATATTGCAAGACCAACAAAACATGACGATAATAAACGATTTAAATGGTTGTTAATATAATAATAATGAAAATTCAACCATATATTCAGTTTATTTCAATAAAGGAAACCTTTTGTTATTTCCAGTTTTGAAAAGTCTGTTATTTTTGCCAATATATTAAGACATAGACTACTGTTTAGGGTAAATAATGGTAAGTTTGGGGTCTGTAATTTAAATATTTTTGAAAGAAGTGTTTATGCTTCTCAAGGCTGAACTTATCAGTCTAGAGTAAAAATGGCAATATTGTGAAAAATGATTGCAATTTTGTATTAAAATATTAAAATAACAGTTTTCTATTTTAATATAATTTCAAAATGTAATTTTTTCTTGTGATGGTAAAGCTGAATTTTAAGAAGCCATTACTCCAGTCTTCAGTGTCATATGATCATTCTGAAATCATTATATTATTTGGTGCTCAAAACACATTTTTTATTATCATTAGCACTAAATACAGTTAATAAAACAGTTAATATTTTTGTGGAAACTGATCATTCTTTTCAGGATTCTTTGATGAATAGAAAGTTAAAATGAACAGCATTTATTTGAAATGGAAATCTTCTGTAACATTATAAATGTTTTTACTGTCACATTTGATCAATATAAGGCACGCTTGCTGAATAAAAATTGTAATTTCTTATTATTAATCCATGACCCCAAACCTTTGATCAGAAGTGTATATGACAGGTGCATAAGAATGTACTGCATAGTAAGACTGACCCAACAAAATGTGAAGATATCACAGAGGAAACTACTGACTGTTTTTCCATAAATAAATGAATAAATATAAACATAAAAAAATAAATAAATGGCTGTCATCTCTGTTGTGTTACAACACCTGAGTTTCCAAAGAACTACAAGGGGAAAAATAGACATGTGGCAAACAAGCCAAAAATGGACCTTTCTGATAAATATACACAGTATTATGTCTGGAAAATAGCAAACCTCAACTGTGCTAAAGTAAATGGGCTGCTTTAGGTAAAACAACAACTGAGCTGAAAAAACAGAAGTCAAGTCAGAATTTGACCTCAATCCAAATAAATGTGGAGCCAGGACCTGAAATGGGAAATTGTTATTGCTTACATATTTTTTAAAGAATTTAAATTTAAATAACCTGGTTTTATTTGGTATTACTGTATGTATTTTTATGAATAAATTAACAAATATTCATACATATTTTGTAATAAATAATAACATTATCATTGACAATAATAATGAATTATGATAATAATTAAAATGATAAAATATTTATTTATTTATTTATTAGCAAGATCATATTTTATGAGCAATTCTTGCAGAGATATATTTCAGGACAAATATTTCAACAATTGTTACTCACTGTATGTTGATATTGTCTTGTGAGGTCTTAAAGGGATAGTTCACCCAACAATCACCATTCTGTCACTATGCTGTTTAGACTGTTTGCACATTCTGTTGGATTTTTATGGTGTTGTTTGTTCTTTTTAGAACTAGACAGATGTGATCATTGTGAACTATCATTTAACGGAGGAAAAAAAGCTACATAAGGGCTTCTTTTGTGTTCCAAGCAATACATATCTCCATACAGGTTTAAAACTACATTGGAGGTGACTAATTAATGGCAGGATTTTCATTTTTGGGTGAACTGTCCGTTTTTACTGTCACATTTGATCAATATAAGGCACGCTTGCTGAATAAAAATTGTAATTTCTTATTATTAATCCATGACCCCAAACCTTTGATCAGAAGTGTATATGACAGGTGCATAAGAATGTACTGCATAGTAAGACTGACCCAACAAAATGTGAAGATATCACAGAGGAAACTACTGACTGTTTTTCCATAAATAAATGAATAAATATAAACATAAAAAAATAAATAAATGGCTGTCATCTCTGTTGTGTTACAACACCTGAGTTTCCAAAGAACTACAAGGGGAAAAATAGACATGTGGCAAACAAGCCAAAAATGGACCTTTCTGATAAATATACACAGTATTATGTCTGGAAAATAGCAAACCTCAACTGTGCTAAAGTAAATGGGCTGCTTTAGGTAAAACAACAACTGAGCTGAAAAAACAGAAGTCAAGTCAGAATTTGACCTCAATCCAAATAAATGTGGAGCCAGGACCTGAAATGGGAAATTGTTATTGCTTACATATTTTTTAAAGAATTTAAATTTAAATAACCTGGTTTTATTTGGTATTACTGTATGTATTTTTATGAATAAATTAACAAATATTCATACATATTTTGTAATAAATAATAACATTATCATTGACAATAATAATGAATTATGATAATAATTAAAATGATAAAATATTTATTTATTTATTTATTAGCAAGATCATATTTTATGAGCAATTCTTGCAGAGATATATTTCAGGACAAATATTTCAACAATTGTTACTCACTGTATGTTGATATTGTCTTGTGAGGTCTTAAAGGGATAGTTCACCCAACAATCACCATTCTGTCACTATGCTGTTTAGACTGTTTGCACATTCTGTTGGATTTTTATGGTGTTGTTTGTTCTTTTTAGAACTAGACAGATGTGATCATTGTGAACTATCATTTAACGGAGGAAAAAAAGCTACATAAGGGCTTCTTTTGTGTTCCAAGCAATACATATCTCCATACAGGTTTAAAACTACATTGGAGGTGACTAATTAATGGCAGGATTTTCATTTTTGGGTGAACTGTCCCTTTAACACAAAACAGTACCAGAGGGCTACATATCTGCTGAAAGACAAATAAACATAACAGAGAACTAAAATTAGAAATAAAAGGCAAGACGACCTGTAACTGTTGACCCCATCCACACAATGGCCTTGGTTCTGACAAGGTCTTGAGACACAGTCATCGCTATCAATTTCACAGCGAGTTCCCTCAAACCCTGCAAGACAGATGAGACGGTCATGGATCGGTAAGTCTCACTGCTCCTTGAAAGCGTTAGGATCAATGATAACAAAGGCCCTTGGTGAATGCCATCTTAATGGAACTGTGCACCTCCCTATAGTTCATCTCATCTGCCAGACCTCGCGCTCCTAGCGTCTCCTCTGAGGACTATAGCGGCTCTAATAATACCTCAGTGCCTCCACAGATTAGGCTGAGGGCTCATGGTGGAAGCGTGGAGAGGATCTCGTTAGGATGAGGGAGACGGAGGAGGTGAAGTTCAGGGGACTCTTTGCTCGTATTCATTACGAGGATGAAGGGGAGGAGGGCGTGTAATCAGCTCAGGGCTCTTGTTGGGGAAAAGGTCCTGGGAGACGTGAATATTCAGCTTTTTGTAGGAGCGCTGCCGCAGTAAGCTCATCCTCTGCTCAGCAAGACGCTTTGTCCCTGAAAAAATGCTTTAGAGTCAACATAAAATCAAAATGTACCTTTTTACTTGAATATTCGCTCCTATTGTGAATGAAAAAAAGTATTTGTACTGTAACCTTAAATTGACATTTTATAACTTGTTTCTTCCTCTGATACAACTTTCCTTTTCAGGTTATGCCACTTACAGTAGACCACACAGGCTATTGAATGATGTAACTTTCATAAGTCTGGGGTCAGAAATATTTGTTTATTTATTTTAAATAACTGTTTTCTATTAAAAGATTAAGATTAAAGCAATCCTTTAGAAATCATTTTAATATGGTGATTTGGAGCTCAAGAAGCATTTCTTATTATCAATTTTGAAAACAGTTGAGCTGCTTAATATTTTCATGGAATGTGCAATAAATGTTTTTTTTCCAGGATTCTTTGACTAGAATAGAATAGAAAATTCAAAAGAACAATTTATTTAAAATAGAAATCTTGCAACATTATAAACGTCTTTACTGTCACTTTTGATCAGTTTAAAGTATCTTTTCTGAATAAAACTATTAATTTCTTGTAAAAAATCTACTAACTTTTAAACTTTTAACACACACATTATATATATACATATATATATATATATATATACATACATATATATATATACATACATACATACATATACATACATACATACATATACATACATTATATATATATACACATACATATATATATATATATACACATACATATATATATATATATACACATACATATATATATATATATACACATACATATATATATATATATACACATACATATATATATATATATACACATACATATATATATATATATACACATACATATATATATATATATACACATACATATATATATATATATATATATATATAATATTATCGCTATTGTTTTGGTAATTCTGGCACAGGATTTTTTTTTCATGCAAAATTTTCTATTTCACTTGGATTTAAATTTAATTACTATACTGAGCGAGTTGCAAATTCTAAATGGCAAACGATGCCCTTATGATAAAATGACTCTTTTAAAAATATTTTTTATGCATATATAATTACTGCATTTAATTTAATCTTTCACAGACCTTTCAGGATTCTTGTGAGCTCATTGTCTAATTGGTTTAGTGTTGAGAGCAGATGTTGCACAACAGTGGAAAGACAAAAATTAAACCTCTAGCATTGCTCATGTTTTTAGAAATGTAATAAACTTGATTTCATTCTGAGCCACCACTGAATATATTTACAGTTTCAGTAAGCACACTTTATATTCTAACACATGCAGCAGAACATCTACTGTACCTTATCATTTCCAAAGCATTTCAAAGCACAGACTGCTTTCACACATTAGAGAGGACTCACAGCAACAATAGAAAGCCAAATGAGTATATGCTCTATATGCATGCCATGAATTATTGCCTAAAGTGTTAAAGCGTCTAGAGAAGAATTTGTTAAGGTCAGATTATCATTACTGTGACAGAACTGCTGCTGTGTAGGAGCACGGAGCAAAGGAGCGAGGAGACGTAGGAGAATTTTACAAATTTTAATAATCAAAAGGAAACAGAAAAACACACACATAGCAAGGTTGACATGAACAATTCCAGACGAGGGAGAACAGAACGGGCTCGAACTCAAATAGGGCAGATAACGAGGGGCAGACAGGTGATGAGGATAACTAATAACAAGGAACAGGTGATTACTAATAATGGGAAAAGGAACTGGAAGGACCAAATAAGGACAAACAGGAACGAAACAGGAACACACAAATGTGACAATTACCCAGTGATATATTTTTTTTGATAGTAAATATTTGCTAAAAATGTGAAGAAAGGAGAGTTTCAGGGCACAAAACCTTCTGTAAACTCATCAATACAAGATTTCTGACTGGAAGTGTACTAGTTTTTCCAATTTCATTTCAGATATCATCCTTCCATTAGATTCTATCAAACAGAATTGGGTCTCTGCCACTATGGATGCACAGTACAATATCTGCTGGATTATATACAGCTGGCACTGGCCCATGATGAACTGTCAATCACAATGTCTCTGGGGACAATTTGGAGTGTCAACATTAATGCATCTGCAGCAAGAACACACAGTGAGACTGGAGTTTCTTCACTGTCAAAACATAGAGCAAGATACCTGTGGCTTGCACAAATGTTCCATCATTCTTTCCCAGCATCCTCTGTGCACCCCACAAAGCCGTGCAGGTAATCCCTGGGACAACTCATCCTTCCAAAGTAAATATGAGACTAGTTTGAAATTTAGCCATGTCAACACAGCCATGTGTCTTGGTGTTTGAAGTTCACTGTTAGTCTTGAGACACTGAGAAACAAGTAAGTCTGAAAACAAATAAAATCTGCATTACACGAACATACAATAAAAATCGAATCAAATATATGTCCAGTTGGTCCCACATTGTCATATCTATATTTGCATTTAACTAACATTTGTTTTTTTTTAATATATGAAATTTACTTCAGTCATGACAACTCTCAGAGGGATTGGCATGCTAATGTACATGACAACGTTAATGTATTTGGTCTTGGCAGAATAGATCTGCTACGCTGCTGCTGCTGCGGCAGAGCAAGTACAGAGACTTGCTACTGCCAATACATCCACAACATGCTGCTGTGAGCATGTAAGAAATATTGCTGCTGCAAATATAACATACATGAAATAACCCCATGTAGCATACATGAATCACCTCGTAGCAGATCTATACAGGTGGAGCTGGGGAAGGTGGAGGGTTTCTGAAGCAAGCTGCAACTGCTACAGCAAGCACTAGTCATATATTCGAATGTTGAGCAGCGAGCTCATTGGCTACCGATACAGGAGAGTACCTATCAGCTGTGCCATGTGATAATGATGTCATTAGGTCAGATGGAGTTAGACCTATCGGACCGCGCCATTTAGAGTTTCATGCCAGAACTCTGTATTTAGTAATAAATAAATAAAATTTAACATGGCCAAGAATGGTTGGTCGATGTGAGTTGTACTATGCACAAACAAGAATATTCTTTAAATTTTAAACCAGAATCATTAACTAGCTTGATGAATTTATCAAGGTGAACAACAGTCATTCCTATTATTAACAATCTTTATAAATAACTAAGATTTATGAAAGCAGTCTTAAAGTAACAGCATACAGGTAATTAGCCTTGGCCCATGATCATCAATCTGAAAGACATGAGCAAAACAGGGCCTAAGCTAAATATTTATAATAACCGGTGAACGTACACGAAGCAGGATGCACAAAGTGAGAGATTCCAGCTCAAAGGCTAATTGTGATGAAACACACACAATTTATTTATCTAAATCTAATTAAAGGATAAATGTGTTTGACTTAAAGAAACTCTACTTAACCGTCTGCATTGTTCACAGGTCTGAAGTACATAGGCTCTTCCTGGCCTGGGAAAGCGTTGACAAGTTAGACAGTTCTTAGGTGCCATTATATTTTTTCCTTAGCCTATTATTTCAAACTATTATTAATTGTGCATTCAAGACTGGACTAATTCAGTAGCTCTGTTCTAAAACCTAGCAAGCTTCCTCACTTCTACAGCAGCATACTAACTGAAATAGAACCTCATAAGTGACAGATTTGGAAAATTTTTCAACTCAAAACACTCTAAAGACTCAACTCACAATTGATTTTAATATACTGTAGGGATGCACAATATTATCTGAACATTATCAGAATCAGCTGATAAAGGCTTAAAATGTAAAAATCTGCCTGATATGAAATACTGCCGATATGCCTTGCCGATAAGACAAATAACTCACATGGGGTCAAAGAGTGGTTTTTGCTCAAAACGAACCAAAATTAGAAATAATTTATAATCTCTGCAGAGTAGAGACTTGGTGATTGGCGAGACTTCGGCATTTCGAATATCGGCAAAAAAATCCTACATCATACATCCCTAATACACTGTTAGAAAAAAAAGAGCAAAAACAGCTTATCTCTGGGGCAGCACCCTTAAAGGGACAACTTTGTACCTTATCTATCCCTAAAAGGTGTATATTAGTACCTTAGGGGCCATTCACACAGAACACATTTTTGCTTTGAGAAACGCGAGACACAGGCAGTGGAAAAAAAACGCAAGGCCTCGAGAAGCATTTTTACTTAACTTAAAAAATCTGTGTTTTTAGAACACTGTCATGGGCGAGACACTGAAAAAACAGGACATGAGCGCAATGGTCAAATACATCCTAGCTCATTTACAAAAAAAAAAAGTAGCACAGTAGAGTGTGTGAACATGCCTTTATGAACCTTTCAGGGGTAAATAAGCTACAAACTACCCCAGTGACAAGCTGTTGTACTTCTTATAAAGGTACAATTATTTTTTCCTCTGAGAATGTAGTTTCACATTAGCATATTGCTAAGCAAATACTATGATGCTCTAACAAGCATAAAAATATACAGTACAAACACATATTAACGTAAAAAAAAATGTATGTAAAAAAGTCAATTTTTCACCATTGCTCATCCTATTTTTTTTTTTTTCTGAGACAATTTATCATGCGATTGTCTGTCCTATGAAACATACAT